TGCTCGGTCCCAATGAAGCTGAATCTTACCAATCAACCTGTACACCCTCTCCACCTGACACTTGGACCAGTACACACACGCTTAAAAGGGAAGCAAAATGCAGGACAATGTAGCACTTTAAAGACTAACAAGATGGTTTATTAGATGATGAGCTTTCGTGGGCCAGACCCACTTCCTCAGATCAAATAGTGGAAGCTTAAAAGGGAGAAACACTTTATTCTCCTTCCAGAGGGTCTGACATGAGAGGGATAGAGAAGGAAGAAATGGAGGATCCCACAGACCACAGTCAGTCCCACCAAAGTTTGAGGGACTTTGTTTTTTAATCTGATTGACACAAACCTTCCTAATACTCAGATAAATCTTTTGTGCTTTGTCCTCAGAGGAATCATTTAGGCTTCTTTGAACTCTTTCTGCTCTTTGCACTCCATGTCCTGCTAATGGTAAGAGAAGACAGAAAACTTGAGGGTCTAATTCAAGACTGTTTTGGGATATGGTGGCTGCAGCACTTGCCACAGTCCCCTTCTTTACTCCTTCCTTTCTCATAACTGTAAGTTCAAAGAAAATGGCTGCCCTGCAATGACCTCCTCACTCCCTTCCTGTGGGCCACAGCAGACCTGACACCAAGTGAAGGTTACTTTCCTCATTGGACATCAAAGTCAGAGTAAGCGTTTGCACTTTTAAATCAGTATCAAAACCTTAAGGGCAAGCTGTTTCTTTCCTAGAAAAAGATGCCAGTACTGCCAACGATCTATGTACACCGGGTGCCTTCAGTAATTTATAATCCAGGCTCCTGGCGTCTGCTCATATAGTGGGTAGCTGGCTTCCCTGTTCAGCAGCAGCAGCATCCTACCTGCCATACAGTCAGCAAACTGACTTTCTAGATAACAAAGAAAAGTGTGTTGAGGGAACCAGTTATGATGTTGGTTGTCTGCCCTCCTGGGTTAAAGCAGGGCTCCATTTCGCAGGGCATATTTAGTCATATTTAAAGGACCTTGCAAAAACCAGCTACAGAAAAGAGGATGACTGACTCAGGGATGTTGAGGTCTCACACAACACTCCAGAGGTTCAAGCTGGACTTGAGCTCTATCACCCTCCCTGCTTGGCTGTCTTTGTCTTAGGAGAAGCTACTTTTCCTGCAAGCACACACTCAAAAAAGGGAGTCCTTACAGGAATGATAGCACTGTGCCAGATATTGTTCATAGAAAGCTGCTACTATCACTCCAGCAGTAATCTAATAAGCTTACGTCCACTGACTGTGGTTATTGCCAGGGCAATTATTCAGTCCCTACCTCCTGTGCATACTCAGTATGATTCCATCCCTAGCATTAATGAGCAGGAGGGGGTTGGCAGGGATGTGAGGATAAAGAGAAACATTATATGCCAAATTATCTAGTCAAAGCTTATCAGGAAATCATCAGTATTACTTGACCAGCTCTAATTTCCCAAGTAATTTTTCTGATCATTAGTAAGTTAAAGTTTTACATTAAGCAATACATTTTAAAAATGGCATAATGCAATAAGCAAAGCAGCAACACATTTCATGGTAAAATAATTCATTATACAGTATTCATTTTGTAATTTTTTTAGTTAAGTGTCAAGGAATGCGGCATTCTTTAATTGAGCCACTAATGCATGAACTTACCCTTCAATTATATTTAAAAAATTTTTAAAAGACTTTTTCTCCTTATGGATTGTAATATCTATCAATTATTTTCATTGGTTTTAGTTGCTGAGAGAAAGACAATTAGCCAGTATCTTCTGAATAAAATCAGATCTGCTCAACCCCAAACTATCTACACATCTCTACAGATGTGTCAACCTAAAGGTTAACAAGTGTTCCTATTGCTAAAATATCAGGATACATCTCTTTTTTGCGGGGGAGGGGGTAAAATTAAACAAAACTTGTCTTATAAGCATTGGACCCCAAAGCTGGCAGGGTGCCAACCAGAGCAGCAGACCTGCTTCATGCCATGCAGTCCGCATCAAAGAAAGTTTTGGTGAACAAAGGCTGCAGTTGGCTAGCACTATCAATCAACTCAGGTTGCTCCCAATGGAGGCCTGATACAATTAAATCTAAAATCAACATGCTCTGGATGGAGTGACTAATTAATTTTTGCCCTCCTAAGAGGCTATGTTGTGCTGATGAAGGTTATGGGACTGGCACTGCTTGGAAACTGAAGTATTCTCAGCACATAGCTGACTGGATACAGGGAAGCCTCTCTCAGCCATGGCTACTTCACTGGTTAGCACAGAGACTAAGACCCACCTCTTATAACATTTTCCAAACCAGCATAGACTGGTGCTACCATGTCTCCAGTAGTGGCCAGTGACTGATGCTTTAGAGGGTCATTGAAACCCTTTTATGTACATATTTTGGATCATTTTACACAGAAACCAAAAAACATAGTCTAGCGTATGATCTGGCTAATGTATATACCATTGGTCCTTTTGGATGGAATCAACTTAGTGTCACAAACCCTATAGGGATGAAGAGTTAAAGATGCTGGGGGCCTGTGATTTTGGTGCCAGAGATCTAAATTCTAGTCTCCTGGCCACTGTAAAGCTATAATCAGTCTCAATGTGCTGCATAGCAAAAGTCAGGGGAAGAGTTGGGAGGAGGTCTAATTTGTTATAATATCATATATGCATACACTTACGTTGCAAGTAGAAATTGTCTCACTTATCACAAGTTATCCAATCAAACTGCTAGGTGCTTACTTCCCACATCCCCAGAGTGTGCCATTCAAGGAGTTCACAGGTTTCAGTAGATGAACCAGACAAGTCCCTCACATGGCATACACATGTCATCCCTGAACAGATCCAAGGGCGGGCTCAAAGACAGTCCATGTCAGCTAGCAAACAAGAGCTGATCCTGTGTGATGGCTGTTAGGTGGCCCACAATAAACTAAATTAGAGGCCTTAGCACAAAGCATCCTCACAATAAGCTACAACAACTGGCATTAAACTGGTCTCTGTTATATTTTCAGCAGCGAAGCCAGGGAACTAATGGGCATGAGACCATACTCCCTGGTAACTTGGAGAA